GGTGAAACATGCTCCGCAAACATTGATCAAATAAAACCCTACTGTGATCGTATAAATGCAATTTTCAAAGATCTTTGCAGGATCCGGCACGGCAGTACAAGCTCCAGAGGTGGAACAACGACAAGTACAAGGGCAAGCCATTAGGAGGCAGGAACAATTGAAAAGAAAGTTTCCCCACTGGAAAATTGAAGGTACAAAAAAGAACCGTTCCACCGTCCAGAAAAGAGAGCTCACGAACACCCCCAGAATGAAGAAGGAGAAGTACGACGAATGCAAAGAAAGCCTGGAGAAATAACGGCAACTATAACCCGGCCCCAAACGGAAGATCTACTCATCGGACAGGACTCTCTGCAGCAAATGTTCGCCGAACTGCGGAAGGGCCATCAGCGGCGGAGAAAAGTTACAAGGAAAATTTGAACGGCCAGCAACGAGGTCCAAGCAGGAACACGAAAGAAGTTTCCCTGTTCCGCCAAGACCAGCTGCCATCAACGGCCAGGACCACAAGCAGAGGGAAAAAGAAGGTATTCCAAGGGTGACCGAACTGGTGAAAAAAGGAAGCTTCCAGAGGAAGGCTCTGAGGCGAGCCCGTACAAGAGGAGGATAAATCAAACAACTAGCTGCACTACCTTTAAGGACTGGGCCCAGAAAAGGATGTCCGAATATCACAAAGATAAGTAAAATTTTATGTTACTTTGCAAACTTAAGTTAATCTTTCATTCTTACTGCAAGTGGCAGAGTTCAAGAAGTTTTACCTCATGTGAGGTCTACCTTTATCGCCAAAAAGGCGAGAAATGAGTTGTTACCGATTTTGGTATTATGTTTTTCAATTACTCGCGCGTAAAACTAAAGTTGATATATAATAGGAATGTGTAAATACTTAAATATTGTAAAAGTTATTGTATAAATTTTATTTAAAACTTTCTGGCAAGAAGGATGTTTTAGTTCTGAAGACTTTTTGAAATGTAGTATTTCATGTAGAAGATTGGCACTTGCTTGGAAAAGAATAGAAGTTAACAATGTACTATTAATGTATGTTTTAAAATGCGTAAAATTAACGGCCTGTTAATATGTTCTTATATACAATGTGAACTGTTATTATAAATGTTAAGAAATACTATGATATGGTAAAAGTGAAAGTAATGCAAAAAAAAATGTTTAAACTTATTCGTGTGACTGAAAAAAAGACCAATTATGGTGAATATGGTTAAAGGTTGAATGAATGTAGTTAGGCTCTCTGACGCTACACTTCAGAGTTAGCCACTTTCAAATAGTACCTCGGGGTTTAGACTTGAAGATAGGGTGTGTTCGAGGTCCTGTTATGTTGAATTTTAACACGTTAGTGTTTTGATTGTAGGAGGCAGTGTTTGAACACGTATACATAAACACATTCGTGTTTGGTGTTCTTTTACAACACATGTCAGAGAGCACGGGGAGAGATAATTAAAATAAAGTCATGAATGAAATAAGAAGTTAAGAGAATTGTAAATATTTATGTTACTTGCCATTTCATTGTGTAAACATTTCATTAAACTAGTTTTCCTTCCAGATCTCTGGAAGGAACCAGATTTGAATAAAAGCTCCTGTTTAGATGCAGTACACATGAAAAATTGGTTGTCCATGGAGCTGATATTGTAAAACAATTTTTTTTTAAATTTCTCTAGTTTCTAGTGAGAAATGTTTGTAAAAGATTGGCCTCGCGTTAGATTCTAGAGCTAAAAGTTTTCAACAAGGTCGTTTTAGACCTCAGTTTCAAACTAATTAACTCTGGCGGGAAGTATGTAAGGATCTCAAGTTTTACTAACGTTTATTTTTATTTTAAATCTTTACTATCACTTTCTTATTTTCTACTTCCGGCCAGAATTAAAAGCTTTAACTTATTTATTGCAAATTTGTCTGGCGAACGCCAAGTACTTAAGTTGTGGCTTTTTGCCAAGCGAGAGAGAGGAAGGAGTTAGTCGAAGCAGGCCGCTTGCCTTAGAAGTTTTTACTCGGTTGCTGGTTGCCTTCCAGGCCAGAGGTTTTTAATCCTCGTGATAATTTTAAACGTATTGTAGTGTTAACAGTTCTCTGTACTACATACGGCTTCCTGTTAATATACGGCCAAATCTTCCACGTTTATTATTCCAAAGTTAAGTTAGAGTTTAGTTAAATATTTTTATCTTCTTACATTCAGACCACAAGTGTTGGTCTCTGTATTCCGAAGTACGGAAATTATTTTAAAGAGTGAAAAAATAAGGGTTTTGTATACCCTTCCTGTGTATCCTGTCTACTTCCCACATTTATTGAACATAGCTTTAGTAAGCTCCCTGTTCCGAGTCAGGTCTTTGCATGTTCCCAAAGAAAGTAAGGCGGAACATTGAACCTGATAACGTTGATGATGAATACACATTTCAGTGCGCGAATGAAGTGTCAGCCCTTGGTGTTTCCTGGAAAGCTGATAAAGATTGTTTTAATTTTAAAGTGAACTAGAAAATGAGTCTAAAATTACTAAAAGGCAAGTTTTGTCACAATAGCGAGAATCTTTTGACCCCTTGGTTTTATTGGGTCCCGTGATAGCTAAAGCTAAAATATTTCTTCAGAGACTATGGGTTTTGAAGCTCAATTGGGACGATTATCTACCTGATAAAGAAGCCAAAGAATGGCAACGGTTTTTCTCTGAACTACCACAAATATGTAAATTAGAAATTAACAGATGCATTCTTGTCGCAGAAGCAATTGTTATTGAGTTACACGGATTTTGTGATGCCTCCGAGTTAGCTTATGGAGCTGTAGTTTATTGTAAATCCATCTCCCAATATGGTGAAGTGGTGATAAGCCTTGTAACAAGTAAATCAAAAGTTTCTCCTGTAAAGCAAGTTACTATACCAAGATTAGAGTTATGCGCAGCTGTATTGCTTGCGAAGTTAATGACTCGAGTAATATCTGCTCTGAAATTTAATGTGAATAATGTATTTTTCTGCAGTGACTCTTTGATAGTTTTGGCTTGGCTGAAAAAGGAGCCCTGTTGTATGAAAACGTTTGTTGCTAATCGAGTTGCGGTGGTTCAAGAAATGACGGAGGTGTGACAGTGGCATCACGTTCCATCTAAACAGAACCCTGCGGATCTCATATCAAGAGGTGCTGATAGTATCCGGTCAAACTTCAACTGTGTGAACTGTGGTGGAGTGGTCCCCCATTTCTTCTTCAACCTGTGATGACTAAGTGCCAAGATGATATCCCTGAGGAGTCCGAAGAACTGTATCTTCGCGAATTAAAACCACCAGCTGTAAGTAAAATATGTGCACTTATTAACACTCATGAGCCATTAGATGTCATCAATAATTGTTCATCTTACAACAAATTGCTAAGAGTAGTGGCTTGGTGCAAGAGATTCTTGCATAACACCAGGGATCCATTGCATGCTACACGCGGAACGTAGACAACCAGTGAACTTTCTAGTGCGTTATTGTGTATTGTGAAAAACGTTCAAAGGACTTCATTTGTGACAGAAATCCAGTGCTTAAAAAGGGTTCTCCTATTCCTAATAGTAGTAAACTATTGAATTTGTGTCCATTTTTAGATCATGAAGGAGTACTCAGAGTGGGTGGCAGACTGAAAAACAGTGACTTAAGTGAAATGAGAAAACATCCTATGATTTTGCCAACTAAACATAATTTTACTATAATTGTGATTAATCATTTTCATGTTCTTTATTTTCATGCAGGTGCTGAAACAACCCTATCACTTATAAGGAGTAAATTTTTTATTGTTTCTGCAAGAAATTTAATTAGAAAAATTATATTTAATTGTATGATTTGTAAAAAGGTAAATTCTAGGTCTGTGCAGCAACAGATGGCTGACTTACCAGCTGCGAGAGTGACCATATCAAGAGTTTTTGCGAAAGCAGGACTCGATTTCTGTGGTCCATTTCTGGTAAAAAATTTTGTAGGTAGAAGTAAACAGGTAAGAAAAGTATTTGTATGTTTCACTACGAAGGCCTTGCACTTTGAAATTGTTAATGGTTTAACAAGTGCAGCATTTATAGCAGCACTTAAACGCTTTATTGCCAGGCGAGGTAAACCCTCAGATATTTTCAGTGATAATGGCAGAAATTTTGTGGGTGCTCATAGAGAATTAAGAGCGATTTTAAAATCTTTATTTAAGGATAAAAGTGAGGAAGAAATCAAAGGTTATTTGGCTACTGAAGGCATAAATTGGCATTTTAATCCTCCCTCTACTCCTCACTTTGGAGGTTTATGGGAAGCTAGTGTGAAATCCCTTAAATATCACTTGAATCGTGTGGTGGGAAAAACAATTCTAACTTATGAAGAATTTTTTACTCTGATTGTTCAAATTGAATCTGTACTTAATTCTCGCCCTCTTTGTCCCATATCAAATGATCCAAATGATGTAGAGGCATTGACACCTGCTCACTTTCTTATTGCTTCATCTTTAATTGCATTGCCTGAACCTAATTTTACAGAGATTCCTATATATCGGATAACTAGATGGCAAATGGTTCAAAAATTAAATCAAAATTTTTAGAAAAAATGGTCGTCTGAATATTTAAACAAACTTTTAAATAGACCTAAATGGTATAAAGGAAAAGTAGAAATGAAGAAAGGAGATTTAGTTTTAGTAAAAGATTCGGATAATTACTCTCCTTTAAAGTGGCATTTAGCACAAATTATTAAAACCCATCCAGGTCAAGATAATATTATTCGAGTTGTGACACTTAAAGATAAAAATGGAACCTATAAAAGGCCAATGACAAAAATTGTACCTTTGCCTTTTGTTAATGAAAAAGTTTCAGTTACTTAAATTGTATTTGTAGTTAATTATCAAGTTTGAGTTTGTATAATTGTATAACCATTATTATTATTATCTTGGAGTGTTGTGTTTGTATTTTATAACTTGTGTTCTAAATTTATTGTTGAATGTAACATTCAAGGCCGGGCTGGATGTTGACGCCAAAGGCGCCATCTGTGAAAAATATGTAATATTTGTGTTCTAAAACCATGACGCTGATGTTTTTATAGCGCTACCTTGCGGCCACTTGTATTGAGTTTTGAGTGTGTTCTGAGACGCCGCCGAGAGATGTGAACTAACTATGCGGCTTTTACAGTAATTAATAAATTTGAGTATACAGTCCATTTTTGAGTTTTGTGTAAAGTGATTTATTTAATTATGAGTTTTACTGAGCTATTGACGGGCCCAAGGTGAATGGGATGACTGCATCATAAGGTGTTTTGTGCAAAGTCAGTTTTCCCTTAGAAAGCCCTTCACGATGGCAGCCCTGGTATGTTTGCAATAAATAGCTGTCCTATGTTCTGCAATATCCAAATAGTATAAATTATTTTTTATTGAAAATGAATAAATTACGCGTTTTTGTTTTGTAAAAAAAAAAAAAAGTATCTTGTTGAATTTTATTTTCTTAGAGGAAAGAAGGAATAAAAGATTATATATTTATTTCTAACTGAGCCAGTCAGCCATGAGAACATAACTTAATTTTGCTTCTTTTAGTTGAAGTAGAAATATATTGTGCATTTTGGTGAATAAAAAGGGTTTTACACTTCAGTTTTGCCTTAAAATGTCTGTTTTGTATTTTGTTTTACGGAAATTAAAATCTTTAATTTTTTTTGTTGCAAACCCTAGAGGGGGAAAACATTCTCTGTATAAAAAAATAACAGTCACACATGTACATAATAATAAATAAATATGAGCCTATAGGAAGCAAACCTGTTGCCAAGACTTTCTTAAATATTCAGATAGATTGTGATCATATTATCCCGGGTATTCGTTGAAATTAGTTGAATTTCTGTTGCTTACTTCTACTTCAATGCATGTTTTATATAATTTCTAATATTCGCACTTTGATCATGTGTATTTTTTAACACATCAATATTCTTGAGAATAACCTAACAAAAAGAAGATGAATCTAATCATGATCACATCAATTTTACACACTTTTATTTTAAAATTCGTTATCACTTTGCATTTTTTTGAGCGCAAACATAATTTTTTTCTTTTCATATTTCAAAACTTTCACCATTTACACCCTTTACAAATAACTGCATATTATTATACTGAAAAATGAAATTTAAGAATGTATTGAATTCTGGGAAATCTTAATTCATTATATCGAAAACCAAATTATAAATATAAATATTTATAAAACTTTATGTTTCTGTATTATGTAACTACAGTGAAAGTAACTCTGATAGAAAATGTTTAGAAACACTGTGCATTAGCTCTTTTTAACTATAATAGTTTGAAAAAATATTTTCAATTTTCCGACTGCACATACTAGACTCATGTTCCATAAAATGCATAAAGAGCATTGATCCATCAGCGGACGAGCAATGAAGTCTCTGAACGCTGGTAATTCGGACTAGGAAATGGCAGCACAACCTTATAATACATTAATCATAATTCAGCTGCAAGTGACAAAAGTGGAAAAAACGTTTTATGCTTATTAAATGGAGTATATAACTCTCCTTTTACAAAAGCTCGAAAAACAGAATATTTATATCATTTGCATTTATCGTTGCATGCTGTATATAATATAAATGTTTGCTTCTTACTTTATGAAACATGAGTATTTGAAACCCACTCAAATATCCTGTAGAGTTTTAAAAAATTATTTTGTAGAACATAAATATGCACATTCACTTTTTGAAGTATGCGAAACTCACACATTAAGAATTATGAAATTTATTTTCATATAATTATATAATTGGACTTTAAACAGTTTATAAACATCTTTATTTCTCTTATTTTTCTAATACTGTCGTAAAAGAGAGAAATAATAGCACTTGTTTATAAAACGCTAATTAGATTATTTAAAAAACATAAATGGCGAAACCTTTTTTTTTCTCTCCTTAATTTAGTTTCTCTTATAAGCATTTTCTTTAACCTTATATATTCCTTAAGCATTTTCTTTAACCTTATATACTCCAATTATTTTAAATTCTTTCTTAAACATTTTATAAAAAATAACACATTAATGTAAGTGTAAACCGTTTGGTTACAAAGTTATGCAAAACTTGGGTTTAGTGTTAAAAAAAAAGACTGCGACTTCGATAAAGGCTATAGTATTCTCAGATGCATGTATTTAAAATTATAAAATTCATACTTAGATTACATTTAAAATTATGCTTATATATGTATTATAAAATTGAGTTCATTTAGTTGAAAAGAATTTTTCCCATAGAATTTAACTTACAGATGTGCGTTTTTACATTCTACTGATCGTCTTCTTCTGACAGTACTGAGAAATGTTCTGCCTCTATTTCTAAAAACCGATCAAGTATTTTCAAATAGGTTGCACGTTGAAAAGAAGCGGTAATATAAGGGAAATGAAGAAAGAACAGGAATTGCTTCCGAAATTAGAAGACGAAGGATAACAATGGAAGGCAATGCGCATGGTCATTCCAGATACTATATGGTACCTTTGATTTTTAGGAAATTCTTCACAAGTTTAAGATGAAATCATAAACAGGTAGAAACAAATTTTGTTGATATGTATCCAAAGAACTTTGAAAATGATTGTGTGATACGAAATGGAAATCTTAAAATTAAGCGCAAAATACTTATAGTACGAGGATTTATCTAAATACCCACGGTAGCAAAATATCACAATTCCCTTCCAAGTTTCAAGGTACCAGAAATGTTTAATAATTAAGAGTTAAGCTTATTATGATACTAACGTATATTTGAAGATGAGTACTCACACTCTGTCGCATGGATTCTAAAAGTAGTACACATAAATATTTGTTTAGGAAAGAAGTATAAAGTTTCTTCAAATTAGTAAAAATAAAATTGTGTATGAAACAAGTTTTGCGTACTTCGTAGAGAAATGCGCAAAACTTCATTTATGAAAATAAATGAATGCGCATTTCTCTACGAAATACGCAAAACTTCATTTATGAAAATAGGTTTGTTGTACTCCAGGTGAATCAGATAGCAAAAATCAGTTAGGAAAAACGGATATATTTTTAGGAGCATTAATATTTATGATTATTGTTATGTTTTATTTGCGTCTTAGAAAGCTATTTATGTCTCAGAAATTAATGACCTCAGATTTCCAGTCTTTAAATTGCTTATAAATTAAGCAGTATCAATTTTTTTATCTTAATCATTAATTTATTAATGACAAAAATATAAAAAATAAATATAATGTATGGGAACATACATTAACGGAAGCTATTTATGTCTTAGAAAAGTTATGCAGTGATGCCGAAATGAAAGAGAATAATGTACAAAGGGATTTTATGAGTGAAAATCGCATCATTTACTATTAAAAACGTGTTAAATGAATTTTTTAATTTGCAAAAAATTTTTGAAATATTGCAATAACGGAGGCAGCATTCTTTTTCTGAAATATTCCATTCGTTTGTGTAGTGAAAATAGCAATGTAATTCGCGTTCTTTCAGATGTTGAAATGCAACTTAAAACTATTAGGGCAACACTGCCCCTGATATGAAAATATGTTTAATATTTTCAGTAATTAATTTATCGAAATTTACGCAAGTAGTATATACTTTTAGTTGTGTGATGTGCCATTTTATTTTCATTATTGTACTATTATTGATGATTTCACGTACTGAATGCTGTGGAAAGTAAATTAAAAGCAAAAGTAAAGTAAATTGTAAAATTTCATTTCAAATAACGATTAGAAGTACTACTCTGAAGGCGTTCTTCTCCTTAGGGAAATAGCCCTCGAGTGCTTTATTATTATAAAATAAATCAATTCAATTCCGTTTAAATAACGTACAAATTATTGCGCATTACTTAATTATACGCTTAAATGTTTCACGTTGTTAAAAAAATTGTAATTTATTATATTTTTTCAAACGAAGAGAGATTAATATATTACTTTCAAAACAAATTTAATGTCTTCAGAATTATCTTTTACAGATAAGTGTGAATTTTTGGTAGATGGGTAATTTACAGGTTAAGAAACACTACAGCTCTTCTCTTTTCTAAAGCAAATCAAGTAAATCCTCAAACGAGTTCTGTACTTTTAGATTTAATTCTCGATTAGGGATTTTAAAGAAGTCATAACCTGCATTTTATCTGCAAATGTGAGAAAATTTTGGTATGAAAAATTGGATAAATATTTATTTACTCATTATTTCAAGTAAAAATATTCATCCATTCCATTTCCTACCCCATGAGTGAAAAAGTAATGAATTTCGATAAATTTAATGGAAAAAATTTCATTAAACTTATGCCGGAAATTAACTGAAATATTTGGCCGCTTGATGTTTGAGTATCTGTGTATTCGTAAGCTGTCGTAAATCTTCCTCTCCCTTTTTTTCGGACCTTGAATTCATTCAAAGATCCCTAAGCCGAACGGGAAATCTCTCCTTTCCAAATGTGGTGCCATAAATTCTTTGCATTTCCTGGACTAGAACGGCATTTCGAAATGGGGGTGGGGCAAAGTCCTTTCATGACACAACTGCTCAACTTACTTCAATAATTTTGTGTTCTTAAGAAAGAAAAGCATGTATTCTGAAGTTAGCAATTAATACTTACGAATGATTCCTCTCCCCTCCAGCTTATTAGTGTAAAAAAGAGAGCAAAAATCGATCTGCCTTTGACTTTGCCATTTTGTAATGTCAATCGCGCTTCTAAATCCAAAATGTCCCTTACCTTGCCCCTTGGTGCGACTGCACAGGTTGCAAGTATCATCGTTTTTTACATTGTGAGAACTATATATTCAAACATGCAGATTCTTCCTTATTTAATTTCTTTAAAAATAATACAGGGTGAGGTTATTTGGTGGCAACAATTTGAAAAGTTATACGCCGTTTATAGCGAACCAACGAAATACATGTTATATTAAATTCTAAGAATCATTCACATTAATAAATTCAATTTCAAATTGAATATTAGGACTGTTTTTTGGACTTGCGTTTAATGGAAAAGCTAGTAAGAGAATCAATATATGAACAAAATTAAACGCTACCGGAATGACATATTATGAAAATTACGAACTGCAAATAATATTCTAGGATTTCTCTGAACTTGCAAAGTTCGTTCCAAAGTACCAGAATCCTGCCTAGTTACTTCTTTGATTTATACTTAGAAAATATGTCTACTGATTATTCGATCATAATGCGAATTATACAGAAACAAATTAATATATAAAATAAGCACTTTATAATAAATAGTAATTTATAATTTCCACTTCCACCGCTTTTTGATTTGGGATTGCAAACGGAGAAACTTTTCCTTTAGAGCGTCGCCTTTAATAATTTTCAGGTTTCAGACTAAGGAATACAAAGAAACTTTTCCTATTTTCCGCTCATTGCTATCCCTAAACTGGGGTAGGTCATGAAGTTATTTATTTCATAGTCGAATGCTGGAATTTTAACTTTTGCAAACACTTCAATTTAGCTGTTTCAGGTGTTTCCAAATGCCTTCTATCTGCGTCATACAGAGAATTGCGTTACTGCACCATATAGGTAGGGGGCCCTTAAAAACTTAAATGTGTGATTATGGAAAAGCCTCGAGGGCTAAGGGAGGGATGGCTTCGTAGAGGACTATCTTAGGGGAACTGGCTCGTATACACGTTACACATGGGGAAAAAACCACGAAACCGCCCATGCAACCAGCCCGTTCGCGGGATTCGAATCTCGGACCGAACTACCAGTGTTCAGCGACTTTACCGTTGGTAGGCTCTAAAAACTTAAAAGAAAACGAATTCTATTATCTACATATACTTAAAGATTCTAAAGTTAAAAGTAAATTGGTGTCAAATCAAGGCTATTCCTCAACTATATTAATATTAACAATCGTGTAAAAGGGTTTTAACACAAAATCAAAACACATCAAAATTAAAATAAGAATTCATAGTAGTACAAAATTCTAAAAATAAAAATGAAAAGCGAAAAAGAAAAAAATACAAGATAAAAATATAAAAATAATAATTAATCTTCTTTTATTGCAATTCTAATTTCGAACTCATCAAGGGAAAATGAATTAAAGCTTCTATATATATGTAATGGAATGCATCTTTAAAGTTTAAACATGTAAATGCAGTTCAGCAGAACGTTTAAGGGTTCCCTAAGCCTTCGAGCCCTTATGCGACGGCATTGCTTGCATACCCTTATTTAAGCCACTATGTATTGTCTGTTTGTTACCGACTGTGATTTCTGCTTTTTTGTCAAAGTGACGGTACGTCTTGAAATACTCGGCTGAATATGTAATGTGTGCTGTAGCTCCATCGTCTTTAAGCCACACATTTCGGCCACAATCATCTTCTTGACAAGCAATTTTGGCCACAATCATCTTGCACAAACGCACTGCACTGAGTATTTGCAAAGAAGGTCTCTGTTTTGCCATTTGTCGTGGTTGGCTTCTCAGTTTAAAAACTGGGCAAAATTTACCAATGTGCCTAGGTTTATTACCAACGAAAACAGATGACATTGAAACCTTTCACACCATCACTGGTCTTACTAAGTCTGTTCATCGTTTTGGCATTATTTGTTGTCAAGGGTTGGGATGGGCTGACCATCTGAGGTTTCTTACCACCCTTCTTCCATTTCCTTTCCACTATGTTTTACGCTATAATTAGCATTTGCCACAAATGTTATCGTACTTTCGTTTCTAAACTCTTGATTTCTTCTTTGCAGCCGTATGTTGATCTGTTCGATCAGTATTTCAGGTAACTTTTCCGTCTTTGGAGTTGAGTCCCACTATGATTTGAACTCGATATATTCGTCATCAGGAAGAATAGATAAGATTCGCGGTGCTAGCAAGTTCTGAGGCAACTTTCCTTCGCCGCTCAACTTTTGCTCAATTTGAAGATCCACCCACAGTGTACGTAAACGTGCGACTGATTGCCTTTCACTTTCGTCTTTCTCGATCCGAAAAGTGGAAAACTGTTGCAGAAAAGAGTCGAATTTCACGCTTGACACGCCTTCTCAAAATTACTTAATAACTCATTCCATATCGCTAGTGCAGAATTACCATGCATACGGATCAAACTTAACACATTCGGTGATACATTTGTGCGAATAATCACACCAGCTTTCGTATTCGCCTTTGCATACGCTTTTGCGGTTTCGTTGTACTCGCGTATCGTTTTTTCATTCGCGCTTTCTGCCGGAGCTATTGGCTCAGCAAGGGAATTATCGAAGATTCCCGCACAATTTTTGAGCACAAATAAATTTTTAAAGTTTAATAAAAATTTATTTCAAATTTTCAATCAGTCCAGTTGGATAACCTTTCCAATTTGGTACGCTGAACAAAACTTTTAGCTTTCATATTGTCATTAACCAGGAAATATGCAGCAAAAATGGCCATCGGTACACTGTAGCGTCTACCTAGTTCGAGAAAATTATGTCCTAGTTTAGGTCAAATTATTTGAATAGGGCAAAACATACGAGGGCTGTCAACTAAAGAGAAGGAATGCCTTTGTGGAGGACTTTCTAAGGAACTAACTCGTATTCACTTTATATATATATATATATATATAAATAAAATCGGGAAAACCTGTGCAAACGTATTTGTTACTTGAGAGATTAAGAAAATATATTTTTTAAATAGATACATCAATTCAAAACATTAGAATACTCTTCTTAGTTCCCAGACTAAGAATCACAAAGTTACAAACGATAAACACGTGAAGTTATACTGAAAATAATTATAAATGATAAAATAAAATAAAAGTAAATTTAACATAATTTTAACACTCAGTGCATAAATTTAACAAGCAGTTTGCTACAATTGTAGTGCTCAGAGAATAAGTACGTCAAGAATAAGTTACTTACTAGGGGTGTTTTTTTTCAACCCGTTTCTGTTCCCATCAACTTTAAACGAATGCATTGTATGTTCCCTTTATTCAATTTTTAATGAATTAATTTTTTTTGATTATTTTATTTTTTATCCCTTTTTTTTTTTTTTTTTTTTTTTTTTTAGTTTGCGTTGTGAGTGTTGGCAATACCGGTTTAATAGTTGTGTTTTGTTGTTTTCAATGGCGCGAATAACGAGGTAAGTATAAAATATCATCATGCAAGCGACATGTGAAGTATTTGTAATATACTATGTAAAAAAATCGAACAGTTTTTATTTTTACAAACATAGTTTGTGTTTGCGTAATGCATGCACTCTTTTGTGTTATATATTCTGTATGAGTAATGATTATGCTTAGAGGAAAAAGTAATTTCTGCTACGAAAATTTGAATATTTGTGTGCAAGAAAATCCGGTAAAATCCTAGTATACGGTGCAGCCTTGGCGCGATTTTGAAAATTATCGTCAACACCAAAAATGACCCAAAGAACTTCTATGTATATACTATATACTATCACTATATACATAGTATATACTATGTATAACTATATATATATATTCTTTGAATGACCCGTTTACTACTCATCGTATATGTCCCGTTTTTATGATTTATGGCGAATAATTGCCCTCTGTGCAAGGAAAAAAAATAATATTGATTAAAATTTATCATTAAATTAATTAAAAAGACTATTAAATTAAAAAAGGTATCTGGTAAAATCTTCGTATACGGTGTAGCCTTGGTGCGATTTTGAAAATTATCGCCAACACCAAAATGACCCGTTTAACTTCTCCTCGTATATGTCCCATTTACTGCTCGTCATAAAGTTCCCAAATCCCTTGTGCACCGGATACTAGGATCAAACCAATATTTATGTGCAAGAAAATCCTACACAAACGATGTTAAATATTGTGTTATACCAAATAAAACTGCCGAAATTTCTATTGATCTTTAGATTATGGTAACTTGCCGATTTTTTGGCGAAAATTTGGCGACCAACTTTCCTACAGCAACCCTCTATTTTTTTTTTTCCCGCCGGTGAAGACATGTTTCTTTTCTTTTTATCTACTGAACACTTCTTCCAACAATCTATTAGCCGAATTACACTTATGCTAGAAATTTTATCTAACAAAACTGCTTAATCATGACAAATATTCACTGCAAAATTGGGAAAAAGTGCACAATACCATACTCCTTACGCGTTTTTCAAAATAACACATACACATAAACCATGTACACGTCGACTTATTTTTACTTAAAAAAACATCCCAGAATTACACAAAAATGGCATTGCGCACACTCCTCACTATATCCATGTACACTGCTTTTTTCTCATCAATTAGAAAAATTTCACGAAAATACATGACAATTTTCTGAATCTTTAAACCCGGTAAAAAGAACATATATGAAATTACCTGATCGCGAAAATGTATATATCCTTTCCAAATATGAACATTTCCACATATAAAATAAAATAAAATATCCAAAAACTTTTACCTCTAAATCTCTATTATATTATAAACGTCACCAACGAATTCATACCGCAAGCATTACAAATACTTAGTGTCAAATATTTAAATTATTTCCATGCACGTTTACTTCAACTAAAACGTATACCAAATTCCTACAAACATAAAATTCACAAAATAACTATCATTTAATTAATCCGAAAAAAATTAACTCGAGTGTTTTGAAATCTTTTACTTCTCTTGATTTATTATAGTAGTCCCATGTAGCAGTTAGTCGTGAAGCAAACTTGATATGCATTTCACCGGAATAGCATTTAGTTCTAAAATTTTCTAAGCAGGCTTGAGTAGTAGGTTGATATTCCTTCAGAATAAAAGTTTTCACTTTTTTGTAATTTTGCAGCTTTCAATCCTTTATATAAATAAGGCCATTGGAAGCTTTCTCTCCAATTAGTTTCAATAATATTTCCAATTTAAATTCTTTTGGAACTTGTGCTTAAATGCTCTATCGATAAAATTGAAAAATATATTCTATGCTTCTGCTCTCTCCGGTATTGGATGCCTATTTTACACTTTGAGAGTCAGCTACAGTTTGTGGGCTGCCAAATGTCGTTGCTAGTGAAAAACAGGTCTGCCCAACATCTCATATTCGGGAAAACTCAGATAAGCGGCACTTGGCGTAATTTTTTCCATCATCTTGAATCACGAAAAATTGCCATATTCTCGGGAGGAATTTTTTCACGCCAAGAGGGAAATGGCATCAAAAGGCGCTTTCTGAAAATTCCCTCTTCAGCCCAATATCGGGGGGGGGGGGGAAGCTCTGCTGGGCGAAAATCGCGTAAAGCAAAGGGTAGCATTTGCATTGAGATGGTAAAGTATACACATAGAACAAATTGATTACTTATTGCAGTGATTAAGTAAATCAACGTACTTTTTTCATCTTAGTGTTTTATATTAGGATATATATATATATACTCCAGCGTTATTAACTTTCATACTTCTCTTTCTTAATTCTTATCATTAATTTGAACAATTATCTGTAATAATGATTATATATGTTTGAAAACATGTTCTTTATATAAATGCAGTAATGATCATGAAAATACGATATATATCACATACTTAAAGATGAAAGTTTAAAAAATAAAATATGCATAATATTGCATCCTCAAAATGTATTCCAGCCTATTCATTCATCCAGTCAGGTTTATACAGTCAAAAGTCGTTAATTCGGACACCCATAATCCGGAATGATCTATAATCCGGACCTCAAAGCTACAAACTTTCTGCGCATGCGTCGCGCTCACGCATGCGCACTGCCGTTTACGAGAGCGCGTAAGAACTTTACGGCTGCGAATATGTCTGTGCGCATGCGCGTTTAATGTGTAACGGAGTTATACGCTAAGCTAAAATTATCTAATTCAGTTAATGTTGCAGATTGCGTTGTTCCTTAATCTTCAAATTGGATTCGGCTTATTATTTTTTGCAGACTGTTAGAGCAATTTCATAAAAGTAAGCTTGAACTTTCGATTATGTCAAATAGAATTTCCGATATATATTTACTAATATGTAATTTGTATCTACAAAGCGAAAGTATGTTTTGAAATCCGAAATCTGTTTATTAATTTCACGCTGCGGATTGGAAGTTGATCTGTCAGCACTATCCTTATCTTCAGGGCAGATGTTTTTATTTTATTTGGCTTATAATTCCTTACTAAGTGTAGTATTTCATCTCGATGTACTCAGTCTTTGATATGATTTTGATTTAAATCAAGTTCCTCGTCATTATAATTCGCTTCCGATAGTGAAGAAAGTGACCCAGAGGTTATTGAAAACGAAAACATTTCGATTGACAAATTAGTCGGTATTCTCAACACAGCAATTATAGGACTTGAACAGCGGAACTTTGTAACTAAACAAGAAATTATGTCTGTTTAATAGAATTAAAGAGAAAGTATTATCACATGAAACGAAGCAACTTACATTGAAAGAAATGTTTAATAAAGTAAACAAATAAATATTAAGCTTTTTTTTTTTTTTTTTTATAAATTTTGATACCCTTTAGATCATAATTGTTCTTTATTTCAAAGGTTACGGTTTCATATTTTTAATTTTGTAATTTCTGCATGCCATCTTACCAGATTTAAACTGATGATCTATAATCCGGAAAAATCGATAATCCGGAATAGCCAAAGTCCCGACGAGTCCGGTTTAACGACTTTTGACTGTATTTTCCATTCCGGATTCTTTTATGCACATAATTTCGATTAATAAGGTTAAGAGGGTTATTTTTATTCTTTTTTACTTGTTTAAATGTGAAAATAGTTTTCTTGTAGGTAACCAAAGAAATGTAATCCTGAATTGCGTAACTGCAGGAAAACAAGATTTGTAACAAGCGCTTCTATGGGTTTTCACGATGTTATGCAATTGTTTAAATTCCAGAAAGAGACCAATCAAATAGAATAGGATAAGGTTATTTGAATTTGTCTGTATTTATTCCATGAAAAGTTAAATCCTAAAATATTTTTGTGCAATTTGAACAATGTCTATAACAGTGGTTTTAAACTAGTGGCCCCAAAGCAATTTGATGTTGTCGGCAAATGTATTTCAGTTGTGCATTTTTTGCAAATACAATGATGCAAAAATTTCTATGTTTTACTTATTTGAAGTTTCAGTTTATTTTACATTCATTACTATTAAACATGAACATGGGTAACATCAGAAAAATCTATAAATATAAATCTTATTCAATGATTTGAAGATACAAATTTAAATAACTTTTATTTGCTTTTTTGTGAAAAAATGAAGAAACTTTCATGTTTTGGTTAATGCTTTAGATTTTTTACTGATATACCCAATTTTTAATCCAGAAAATCCTCTGCTGTTAAAAAACTGCTTTTATGATATAGGGTGTCTTTTAGCTGCTGAAGGTTAAAATTAAATGTACTTTTTAGCTTTTTGCAGAAAACAGTATCATTTTGCTAGTTTCTTCTGGGCTAATTTATTCCCTAGTATAAGATTAAGGTTTATTCTTTTAACAGTAAATATTAGAAAGATATATATTAGAATTTGGAGCTGCTATCCTGGGATAGTATTTGACATTTTAACCATTCTTATTTATAAAATAGATCATGTAATTATCACCAGCTCACTATAAACATTCCCTCTATATTGCATGCATGTATAGCCATTTCGTATAGTATATAAATACTGCGTAAGAATTGTTACTACCATTGTACCTAGTTTACAGTAAAATATTTAAAAAAAAAAAAAAAAAAAAAAAAAAAAAAAAAAAAAATTTACTAATTTTTTCTGATTATTGGCATTTTATTTTTTACTTTAGTACAGAACTTTGTTAATTTTTTTTTTTTAAACCCAAGTTAATATAAAATTTATCTGTTATTTCTGTAGTATGAAAGTGGTCTTTTTTTAATGTAATTAGAATGTTTTGTTCTTATTTATTTAAAATTATTTTGGGACTGCAGTTCAGATAAACAAGTCTGATTATTGATATTCTTAATTTATTCATTGACTGCTTTTGACTCTTTAGATAATTAAAGCCTAGAGTTTTGTTGTGTCTTAAGTTTTAGTTTGTAATGCATTTTTTAGATTATCTGCATAGTGTTTATCTACAGTTATGATCATAGATTTGAGTGTAATTAATTTGTTTTTTCTAATGCATAATTTTTCATTACCTTATCTTATACATTTTCAGATCTGCAAAAGATTTGTGGTCACTCATTTCTGGATCTTCAGTTTTAAATAATAAGGTAAGAAGAATAGGTACTTTTCTGTTTTGGCGGCCCCAGGCGATGAAGTCACCAATAATGGTACAACTGATGTCAAACAGAACATCCTCCTAGTAACCTTTCATGTCTCATTTTCAAAACAAATCGCAGCGATTTCTTATCAGATTGATTGTTTCTTTCAATACTGGCATACAATTACATATAATTTTTACCAGATAGTTCAATTTTATGCCCTAAAGCCATTCATGGTAATTAAGTGAATTAGGACGCAATCACACCTCTCACCCAAAGGCGAAAATATAGAAAAGTCAAAGTCAAGGGTTAAATTCATCAATTCTAATGAGAATGCACTAGCGAAGTAAAGCACTGCGGTTTTACATGATTTCTGAGTAAGCTATTCATACGAATTGAAAAAATTCTTGCATTTAAACCTTTATTTCAACTTAAGATTTAACTTGAAATTAATGTAGATAATTACTGAGAGAATTAGAATTTTGTAGCATAATTTAGAGATGAGATCACTAGGGGTCACGTGATATGAACCTGCGAATCAGGATGTTGAACCATGAAAGGCATAGTAAATTCTTAAATTAATGTCTTTTTACAAATTTATTGTCTTTATTTATTGGCTTTTGTACAAAATTTTAAATGATATTAAAATGTTTATGCCTTCAAAATAAAAAATTCTTAGAACTAACATTTGTTAACATTTTTTTATGTGTATACTGTTTGTTGTCGCCAATAAAGTCTGCTTGGCCAGATTTGCGCCTACGAAACGGAAAAGTACCAAAGAGTTTCGTATAACTGATTTACAATTGTAAATATTTTAATAGTTTCATTGAAAGTAATTTGCATTCCTGTCAAAGTAGAAATAACTCCTGATAAAAAATTTTACGAAAGAAATTTTGAGCAGCAGAATGAAATCAAATGAATCAATTCATTCATTTTCTTATTTAAATAGTGCATAAATATTTACATTTAAGATAATTTCTTATGATAGTGTGACCCTTTTTGGTACACAACCATCTTGGTAGAAGTCTGCAAATTTTCAGAATATGCCAGATTTTGGCTATCGTGCATATAAAAATTCTTCAGTTTTAATCAGCAGCATCGTCATTTCATATATAGATTTTTTGTTGTGGTCCGAGTTCCAGTGCTTTTACGTACAGATTGTGACCATGGCGATGAGGAAATGGAATGGCTATGAGCAGCCCTTGCTGTTGCTTAACTGGTTAAAGCCTTCCTGCTGAGGTCTTGCTTCATTCATTTTCATCGACCCAGGCAGACTGCTATTTAACTGTACTCTGCATTTTTCTCTGTTTTAAACATGTTAATAAAAATGCTGCAAGTAAATTAATTTTTTTTCCATGCTCTTAATTTTTTTATACTTATGGTAATTAAATATTTAGAGTATTAGCAGTTTTTAATAAGAATAAAAAAGCTACTAATAAATGCCTTTAAATATCTATGAAGAGTTGCCAACTCGCTCAATTTCTGACCGTTCTGCTGCCAACCCAATTTACAACATATTTCTCCTGACTTTCTTTTATTCTTAAAATTCCTCACGATTTTTATATAGCTTAATACCTCATTATTTGCACAATAACAACAACAGAGGAAGATTTTGGGAGTCTGAAAGAACTTGATTTTTATCTAGATTACGTATAAAAGAAAAAGTCATTTTATCAGTGAGAAATTATGGGGCACATCTGCTTTGTGAGTGAGAACATATGTGTCTGGAAACATCATGTTCCAGTTCGTCAGTTACCAGTGAGCAAAACTATGTGTCATCTGACATATATATGGCAAAGAGCACAAAGCAAAATCGGGGTTGTTTGTTATTTCGTTCATCTTGTCTATGAGTGGTATGGGTGCGTGTGCTTTTAAGAAATAGTTTAAGAAATTATAATCTTTTGTTTTATTTTTGTCTGCAAAAAAGGTAAAATACTCATGTACTTTTCAAAAATTGCACACACATGACTTTCCCTTTGTTATTTTCTCAAGGAAGTGTAATACACTTGCGATGTGTACTGTTTGTCAGTGTGATTTTTCCTTCTTGCACGGTGGAAGGGCCTCAAACATGTACGTACACAAAAATGAAAACATGAGTACTACTGGGGGGGGGAATTGATAAATTAAATTTTTCTGGAGAAACAAAAAAGTTACTAATGCAGAATGCCTATTTACTGCTTTTTTTTATTGGAGTGCAACTTGCCACTGAATGCATTGGATCGTGCTGCAGCTTCATTTAGAGATATGTTTCGCCTGATAGTGAAATCGCTGAGAAATACCTAAGTGCAAGGACCAAAACAGTTGCAATTGTTAAAGAAAGGGATATGAAAAATAAATCTTCAGTTATTGATTGCATTAAAACAGTTCCATTCTGCCTGTCTACAGTAGAAGCAATAATATCAATTCAAAAACTGTATCCAATTTCTTTTTTTAATCCTATGTCTTCAGAAATTGAGTGTAGTTTGCTTTCTGTCTCCATTTTAGAATATTCGTCAGGTTTTAATATAGAATAGCTAATTGTTACAACTTTAAAAGTAAGTAAATGCAATTTCTCTGGATAATTATTTGTGGTGCCGATAATGCACTAGTAATGGTAGGCTTGAAGACTGGTGTTGCAGGCATCTTAAAAAAGGAAAATTCAGATTTGCAAATTATGAGGTGCACCTGTCACCTTGTAAATATAGCAGCTAAAAAAGAGGCAGCTTCTTTACCAATAAGTGTGGATGAACACATTGTTGATATTATTATTATCTTGAAAGGAGTTCTAAAAGGAAGAAAAAAATTGAAACTATTCCAACAGCTGCATAGTACTGAAATAAGAAAAATTTTGAAACATGTATGTACACACTGGCCATCTTTAAAGAAATGCTTATCTAGAATCTTCAATCAATGGAACCCACTTCTTGCATTTTTTAAAGAAGTAAATGCTTCTGGAGTTTAGAGAAAAGGCTGTATTGGCAGTTATAAAATACCTATATGTAAATGGAGTACTATAAGTAAATGGAGATGTAGTTACTGCTTCCACTTTTAAAAATATGTTTGAGAAAAATATTTTCTACAACAGTGAGCAGTTGGCAGTTCTCAGAGTAATACTACAAAATATAATCATAAAAAAGTTTGATACAAATTTCTCAAAATAAAAAAAAAAAAAAAAAAAAAAAAAAAAAATTGCTCAAAGCAAACACTTTCCAATTACTGTAAGTTTATGGTTAAGAACGAATACAGTACAAAGTCCGAGATCCGGACTCGTTGGGACTTTGATTCTAGATTTGGGATTTTTCCGGATATTAGATAATCAGTTTAAATCTAGTAGGCATATAGAAATTATAAAATTAAAAATATGAAATCGTGATTTATGCAATAGTAAAGCATTTATGATCTAAAGGGTATCAAAATTTACCCTCCTCAAAAAAGCTTAATATTTGTTTACTTTATTAACTATTTCTTTGAATGTAAATTCTTTAAATTGCCTCTCTTTTTATGCTAATACTTTCTCTTCAGTTCTATAGACAGACATAATTTCTTGTTCGGTTACAAAGTTCCACTGTTCAAATTCTGTAGTTGCTGTGTCGAGAATTCCGACTAACTTGTCAGTCGAAATTGTTTCATTTTCAATAACGTCTCTGTCACTTTCTTCACTATCGATAGCAGTATTTTCTGGATCTAGAACCATAATACAGATTTTGCTGTCAGTTGCTTGATGATTGGGACATTGTCATTGCAATGAAAAACTTCTGTTATATTATCTTCATTTATTACCGCTTCTCCACATTTCTTTACAAAATCCATTGATTTGAAAATTTTACCCGTGGTTTGTGATATCTGAAAGCTTTCATATTTGCGGCTATCATCCTCATGATCCTCACCATGAAATATGGTAGCTGGTCATAAATTATGCCAAGCATTTATTAAAGTATCTGGGGGCATATCCTCTCACAACTTTGCAATGTTGCACAGAGCACATTTTGTGCTAAAATATTTCAAAAATTCTGTTAGAAATGCTACTTTATATTTGCATTTCAGCGAGTGCACTATTCTGATATCCATAATGGCTGAATAATGGATGTAACAGGGCTACATTATCTTTCACTGAAACTTTGAGTGAAGTATGAGCCAAACAGTTATCTACAATCAGAACAATTTTTGCGTCATCAGGTAAACCAACCGAATTAAAATTTTGTCAAGCCTCGAGTATGAAATGATTTTCAAACCAATCATACATTAATGCTTGTGCCATCCGCACTGTTTTATTTGCATGATATATAACGGTAAAATCTTTACTCCTTTAAATGCTCGAGGTTGTGCATTTTTTCTGATTATGAAAAGTTCACACTTGTGCATTCCTGCAGCATTTGCACATGCTAAAATTGTTAGTCTAGCTTTGGAATCTTTGACACCAGTTGGAACCTTTTCTGTAGAGGTTGCCAAGGTATTTCGAAGTACCATATTGCCAGAAAAGACCAGTTTCGTCAACACTGTAAATTTGTTCTGGAGATAACGTTTCACTATTAATGAGTTCAGCGAATTCATCTGCAAATAGTTCAGCTTTGGTAACCATTGAAGCTTTTCATCTGAAGTTTTTAATTGCATTATACCACGGTGATTTTAAAGTTTGGTTAACCAGTCTGTCAAATATGTGCACTCAGTTTTTAAGTTCATTTCTTCATGTAATATTTTGGCTTGAACCATAAGCAGTTGATGCCTTGCTGCATAAACAGAGATAGAGATGCAGCGAGGGGCAGCCATCAATGGATGCCCTCACTGCATCTCTGCCTGACCATTCAATCACCTTTTTGCCATGATCGTCATTTTTAGCATAACAAATAATTTTTCTGATATTTATTGCGAGTGGGGTGTCAAAATCCACAAAATATTCGTAAAGTTCATTTTTCTATTATGTCATACAGTTGACTTTCCAATGCCATACTGCTCGCATAATTTTGAGATGGATATACTTATATCCATTTTTTGCAGAAATTCCACTTTTTGCTTCATGGACATCGAAACAT